TAGGTGGTGGGGATATTTAAAATGGGAAAGTGGAACCTAGGTGGTGGGGATGTTTACTGTAAAAGCTTTCAACTTTCCTGTGTGTTTGCAAATTTCTGTAATGTAGGGGAAGATGTCAATGACCCAAACTTCTATTAGGAAATTAATTAAGTAATGGTACATCCATGTAATGGAATGAAATACAGTGCAACATTAGAAAATAATTTTCTATTCGAGGCTGTGTGAGGAGGGATAGAGTGGGGACGCTTCTGCTTTTTATTTACACAATTCTATTTTCTTTCTATGTGTTTTGATTACTTTGATTAAAATTACAATAAAAACAAAGGGAGGGTTACAGAAAAATTTCAGATTTATAGATAATTGATTTTTTGTTTAGGAAGCAACTATATTTCCCCAAGATGTATCTAATTAGGTAATCTACTTGATTCTGAAAACTGATTACCCATCAAATATATAATCAAGTTTTGTTTGGAGGTAGGGCACATTGGCCATTATTTTGATAGTGGTGGTATTGGTTATCTATTAAGCCACAAACTCAGTGGTTTAAAACAAATACATTTACTATCTTATAGTTTCTGTGGGTCAGGAATCTAGGCACAGCTCTGCCTGGATCCTCTATCTACTCCAGTATCTCTCCTAAGAGTGCAGCCAAGGTTTCAACTGGGACCAGGGTCTCATCTGAAGGTGGAAAGACTTGATTCCAAACTCACTTACTTGGTTAGCAGTAGAGTTCAGTCCTTTTGGGTGGTTAGACTGAGGGCCTCAGTTCCTAACTGACCATTGGCTGGAGGCTTCTCTCAGTTCTTTGTCATGTGGCCTTTCCTAACATGGTAACTTGTTTCATCAAGGCCAGCAAGGAAGAGAGTTGGTTAGCAAAGTGAAAGTTACAGTCTTATGTAATGTAATCACACAAGTGACATCCCATCATCTCTTCTGTTAGTTAGAAGCGAGTCACATTCCTTCCCACACTCACTGGGAGGAAATGATGCAAGAGCATGCACACCAGGAGTGGGGCAGCTTAGCCTCTGTCTGCCAGTGATCCACAGTTGGACCTACCAGTTATGTTCCAGGTGCAGATAAACAGTAGAAGCTAGGAATGCTGGTTGAAGATTCATTTCAGAGAGAAAACCCTAGACTCTCAATAGAATGTTTAACCTTTTTTGAAATTTTACACTAATAGAAAAGTTCCTTGACTGAAAGTAAAATTTTTTTTTCTAAGATCAGCTCTTTCTGTAGGTAATCAGATGGTGTACTTTTAAGAGCTGTCACATAACCAATGACCAATATGTTCGTGCTATCTCCTAAGTCTCTTTCACACATCTTCCTTTCTATTTCCTGTACCACTGTGTCGGGTAAGCCCTGCAAATAATATCCCCCTTACCTATCTTCATGCCTGCAGGCTTGTGTGTCTGTCATCTGTCTTCCCCAAACAGCTGCAGGAGTGGCTTTTTCAACCTGCAAATCTGATTCTATCCTGGACTCTAAATCCTTCAATGACTCCCTTTTACCTGCAGGCCAAATTCTCTGGTCCTTGGCATGTCCTAAAGGGCTGGTTTATAATCTGGTTCCTGTCCAACTGTCCACTCCCATCTGCCAAAATTCTCTATGGTGTGTGTGTGTGTGTGTGTGTGTGTGTGTGTGTGTGTGTGTGTGTGTTTGTCTTTTGCAATTCAGGCTCCAGCAACATGCATTTACCGACATTTCTCCAGGAAGCACATACCTTTTCAAGCTACCACCCCTTAGCTTCTATTTTCTCTAAGCTTAATATTCTTATCCCTGTTATTTCCTGGCAAACTCTTGTTCACTCTTCAAATTTTACCTAAAATGTCATTATGTGATGGTCAGAAGCCAAGCTTTCAGGTAAAGATAGTGGATTGAACACATGCATATAATTTTTCTCCCTACAAAACTCCACTATGGGACATAACCATTTTGTGTGCTATAATTCACAATCTCTATGAAGAAATCTCTGGTGTCTTGATGAAAGGCTTGCACTTTAAAAAGAAAAAAAAATCTTTGACTTGATTAAGACTCCCCCTGGGTCACCAGCTGACTGTCAGCGAGGGTTTAGTGGTCAGTAACCAAATAGTCTTCCTTTTTCATATTAAGGAATTAAAAATCTCCACAAAACATAAAAAAGATAGAAAGCAGTTTTCTTATTGAATAAGTGTAAGCCAGGGTACCATGGGCTTGGCCAATCACCTGCAAAGAGATTATAAAGACCAAAAGAAAGTCTACCCCAATTATACAGCCAAGAAGTTACAATTCTTTCTCACTGCTCTGCCTTCGGTCATTATATACACATGTTCTCGAGGTGAAATTAACTGTCTTTTGTTGAATATTTTTTCATAGTTTATCCTAAATTCACCTTTATCAGAGGAATAATAAAAATTTTCTTATTTCTATGACAAGGAGAGACCTAAAGGCTAAACTCCCACAGTGACAAGGACACGGAACACTGGACACTTTCTTCTTAGAGGTTTACATTTCAAAGGAATGGTTCCCAATCTTTGAAAAATCAATATTTCTGGGTTGTAAAGCTGATAAAAGACTCACTCATAAAGGGGTTTAAAACATGTATATTAAACTAATTAATACTATAGTATTAAAAATACTATATACACTATATATATGTAATAGTATCTATATATCCCTTCGTATATGTGTTCTTCACTGGGTGGCACCATCACGCCCCGTGCAAATTGCAAAATGTTTAGCATCCTTTGCCCCACCACAAAATACCAGTAATGTCCAACCCCACCTTACACCCCCTTCTCAAGCATTGTGGCAATAACAAAAGCAAGAGAGTGAGGAGAAGGGAGGGAGAGAAGAAAACTGCCCTTGAACATTTTCAGATACCTTCAGGAAAAATAATGCCATGCTCGGTGACCACCTCATGTGGACTTGTCTGGGACTTTCCACTTTAACTTTCTCAGTTTTAGCATTGAAAGTTTCGTGTCCCAGAAAGCACACTAGTTTCAGGCCATCTGGGGTAGCTAAACACCCTAATCCCCTAACACACTCGCACGCAAACGCACACACACGCAAACGCACACACACGCACACACACATGAATAATCATCAACTTATGTGCATGTGGCACTCAGGGAAATTTTTAAATTAAACATAAAAAAATTGGCTTTGAAATGGAAGAAAGCTGGATTTGGACTCTGATTCGGTCCCTTACTGGCTCTGTGACTAAGCAAGTGTCTTACCAGCTCTGGTTGACAGCTCTTTCGTCTGTTCAATGGGATAAAAACTGTTCATCTGGGCCACTGTGAGGACTCAGCTCAGTGTGACAGCCCTTCCCTCCCTCATGAACTCCAGACCTCAGGTCATCACCAGAGCCCCTATTCCGATTTTAATTACCTCTTCTTTAGAGGAATCAGCCTGCTGTGTCCCAAGTGTCCTGGATCTGGATCCCAACTGGAAAAGGCACAATTGCGAACAAGGGCTGTGCCTTTGTGGTTCCCAATATTACGGCGGGCGGGCAGGAGATATTCAAGGAGGGCTGGTGAATAATTGCGTAACTATTACCCTTACATTTTACCTCTGACTCAGCTGGGCCTGTGGGAACACCCACTGCAACATCACTGGCTCCTCGGCCTTCCTTGGCTGGACGTTTTCTCAGCATGAGAGTGACCAGCAGCTCAGACACAAGTGAGTCCCACTTACTGGGCACACATGTGAACAGTGGGAGCTGCCCCAGGCTTCCCCAGGCATGTGATGTCAGGACACCTTTTCACATATGTGTTGCTGCTGTGGGCTCCCAAGTCTGAAGTGTGTTCATGAGGTCTTCTCGGTCACTTTCTCCTTGGTGGGAACTGTTCAACTGCATCAGCCTTGAGAGCGGGTCTTGGGAGGCAGAGGATGGTGAGACCAAGAAAGAAGTGGTCCTGGAGAGGGTCTAGGGCACCACTGGTTGTGAGCTGTCCCATGGGCCCCTGATGGCGAAGGCGACTTCACACTGTCTCCTCATATAGGCCCTGCAACTGTACCTCGTGCACACATGTAGTTGGCTGCTCTCTCCAACTAAATTTTACGAGGGTGGAGACTCTGATCTATGCTTCACATTGTACTGAGCACATAGTTGTCGCTTCAAAAAAAATTCTGCTTTCAATGACAATTGTTCTAGAATGACACTCTGTAGTGATATTGTACAGTTGATAGAGTGGGACAATAATTTCTTTTATAGACTAAAACCCTTAGAATTAAATAATTTACCAGTACAGGACATGGTCAGTGTCCTTGAGGGCAGCTTCAACTGATGAATTGCTGTCTTGTGGCCTGGCTCTGTCAGTGACTTAAATGCCCCAAGGAAGAGAATAGTTTAGCTGAGTTGAGGGAACTTGGGCGAAGACAGTTCTGTGGTCCATAAAGGGGAAGGAGTGAACCTAGATGACAGAGATTAAGATAATGCTACAAAGTTAACAAGTGCCTTTCCTAAAACTAGCCCACCCAGCAGATGGAGCTTACCCTTTTTTCATCAAATGCTTTCATTTAAATTTGAAACTTTTATTTTCATCCAAGAAATCAGTGATAGAGTTGCCAGGTAGAATACAATATGCCCAGTTAAATTTGAATTCCAGATAAACACCGAGTAATTTTTTAGTAGAAACGTGTTCCAAATATTGCATGTGACTTATACTAAAAACTTACTCATTATTTAACTGTAAGTCAAATGTAACTGAGTTTCCTATGTTTTTACTGGCTAAATCTGGCAGTGATGGTCAGTGAAGTATAGGGTTCATTTCAATGAAAACCACCTGACAGCCTACCTGCATGGAAAGACCTTGAAAGAGACACAGCCCTTAATTTACACATGCACACACCAGACCACAAAATGCAGAGAGCAATCCTTCCTTTCTTTCATGTGATTCATTTTATTTTGATGACCTCAGGTCAAACTCAGATTTGCAGCTACAAGCCCCATTGGCTGGTTTTATCTGTGGAGCCGTTGAGGCCTCATGTGTGATAATGACCTTGGGTTTGATGTCGTGTTAGAAGCCGTGTCTCTTGAAGTATTTGGCTCGTGCAAGGACATCATTGCAGAAGTCACAGCTCAGGTCCTGGGTGCTTCTGACATAGCCAGGACCTCCAACGTAGGCACAGAGTCCACCTGCAATTGGTGAGACAGGTCACTGCTGACTCCAGAGCCCCTTGTGACTTCAGAGTGCTCAGGAGTCACTTTAGATGCTCTTCCGCACGCTTATCAGGAATAATCTGAGGTTAGGGGCATCTGGTACAATGCATTACATTTGTCCCTATTAACCCCGTGCTGTGGAACCACCGATCCATGGGTTACACCCACCTCTCAGGTACTGGTCGGGGGTCCAGGTTGGAAACCTCCTCTGGATTTCTTTGATTCTAACAGTCAGGACCTCAGTCATCCGAGAAAGCTGGGACTCACTGATCCATGTTGTGGGCACGTAATGGCCAGGGTCCTAGAGGAAGGGAGGCAGATGAAAAGCCAGGTATGCCAGATGGGAGGGTCATGTGGCTTCATGGAATCGGTGCTGCTCTCTCATTTCCCTTCCCCTCCTCTCCTCCTCCTTTGGCAGAACCAGTGCCACCTTCAGGTTCCCTGAGGATAAATAGTAAAGCTACAAAGTTTGGGCAAAGGAAGAGACGAGGAGAAATTTCAGTGAGACCTCAGTGTAATGGTGAGAGGAAGAGTTGCAAGCCCGGGTCGACAGGTAGCATAAGTTCCTGTCTGAAGCTGTCCTGCAATGCTGCAACCATAAACCCTTCAAACAGGTAAGAAAGGGGATTTTCTATCTCTACTTGTAATTCTCCTTCCAGATAATCTGAATGTCTAAAGGTACCTCGGACTTTTCTTCTCCACCTTTGATTGCCATTCCATGTAGGTTTCACCACTTTTAGGAGAAATACCTGACTCTGGGAAATTCTTGCTTCATCTTCAAAGATGATAGACTCGTCCTTTTCCCAAGAACGAGATTTTACAAAGGAGGCAGAACGGGGCAGCGGAAAGGACGCCGGCCCTAACATCACCAAAGCTGCCCTTGGTCCCAGTTATGCACTTTCTAGCTACCGTGTGACTTTACAGCAACGACATTCTCCCTTTAAATTCACCTTCACTTGTAAAAGATAGATGACATGCCTTCTCCAACCCCATTCCATCAGATTGTTAGTTCCCCAAATCAAAATAAGATAAAGTATTTGAAATTACTTTTAAATTATGCATACAAAGTACTAATAGGAAGCCAATTTAAAGATCATCAAGGAATACATTTTCGTAAAAGCTTAAAAAATGACTGCAAAAGTTACTGGTTTCTTGACAACCACGACAATGATATGAAATGCAATAGATAAAATTTGTGATCTCATTGTTTCCCATGCCATCACCCATTCCCCCAGAGTAGGGTTAATTCAGCAGTGGAGTGAATTAATGACCAGCTCTCAGAAGATCTCTATCAGACAAGTGAAACCAGTCAGAATTCATGCAAAAATAAAATTTGACCTTCAGAACTAAGAATTGCATAGAAGGAAGACAAGGGAAAAGGAATTCGAAACTCATTGACAATCTACCAGACACTTAGTACTTTTTTTAATTGAATCTTCATAACAATTCTATGAGGATGACATTTTATAGGTAGGGAAACTGAGGCCCAGGCAGATTAAATGGTTTATCCATGGTTCCATGGTTGTAAAATAACAGAGCAAGGACCCAATCTGTGACCTTTTTCCTGCATGGCCTTATTGGAAATCCAGAATAGGCTACCGATGACAACATCCTGGAAACAATGTAATTCAATTTGAAAAGGAACTGTGGCTTAAAATGAAGCAGAAATGGGGCAGCTCATCTCTCTCAGGCAGAGTCATGGCTCCCACAGCCCCCAGGAACTCTTTTCACTCTGTCCTATAGGGCTGTGCCCCAGGGGTGCCATCCGCACGACAAATATGAAGGCGTCCTCACTCAGCACAACAGCCATACATTATAACCGATGGAGGGTTACCTGCACCACCCCAATTCCGTTGTCCACAGTGCCCACATTGACCAGGACACTGCCACTAGGAGACTCCCTGGACATGACACCAGCGATCACGGCAGGATCCACACAGTACTTTTGGCCAACGGTATGCATCACAGGCTGATATCTCAGTAAGTATGGCAGGTCGATTTCAGCCATCCTTTCAGAAGCACGAACTCCTAAAGCAAACACAGAAAGAAGGGTATGCTTTGTGTGATGTATACCGAGACAAGAGCTCAAGAGGAGAGAGGAAATACACTCCAGGACCTGGGCAGCAGTTGAGAACTGAGAAGCCCATGTTTGGGTCTGAAGCTCCTGGCAGGCACTCTTAGACTTGAGACTGTGATTCTCTTCCTTTGAGCCTGAGTCGGCATCCCCTGTGGCAGTGTCCTTTGTCACTACCAAGGCCCCTCGTCTCAGCTCTTAGAAGCAGCTCCAGTCCTCCCAGGAAAATTCTGTGGTCACAAGCACCATGGGTGCCATCCTAAGCATACTGAACTGAGTCACTCAGTAAAATGCAGCTGTCCATCAGCTACAATGGGCACATGATGTGATGGAGAAGTTCTCCCACACCCTTCAAGAAGTCCTTGGAGAGTGTCCCTGACAGATGGACTCACCCTTGTCCAACCTTAAGTAATACCCAGGAATCATGTGCACTTAAACCTTTATGAACTAACAAGAGTGCTGGACAAAATGAAAACCAACCCTAACTGACCTGGCTAGCCCCCTCACCTCCTTACGATTTCAGAAGCACTCGCATCCCCATTACTGACTGGTGTTTACAAAGACACTGTAAAGTGAGCACTATATTCCCCTTCTGGTGGAGGCTCGGGGCACTAAGTGACCTGAAGAAGCAGAGCCAGCACTCAGACAAGGTCTTTGGACTCCACGTCCAGTGCTCTTTCTGCCACTCAGGAGCGTGGGACCATGGGAACCAAAAGGGTATATTGAGAGGATAAAAACGTGTGGGGATGACTGGGAGACACAGGCGTGGAGTATCAAAGGGAAGGGACAAAATCCTGTTGCAGCCACCCTTGCCTGGAAAAGTCACCGTCTGAGAGGAAGGAGCAGGAGGGCAAGGAAGACATTGAGATTATAGCTACCACAGTAGTTCAGGCCTCTGCGCCTTCCAACTCCACAAGCTGCCCCGGGGGTGTCCAGGGTCCGGATGTTTCCATAGCATCCCCAGTTGCCGCTTTCAGATGAGTCTACAAATTGAGAAAATTTCAAGCTGAGGTATTGAACTAGAATAGTTGTGATTGTCTTTCTGTTCACCAATGAAGTGACATTAATAAACACAGCTATACTGAAGTCAATGATAAGAGCTTGACCCTGCAATGAAAACCCTTGTGAAATTTACAGCATAATGACTAAGAGATTATCACGGAACCATCTTGATACCGAATTGGCAACTGTTGGACAGTTCTCCTTGCCAAGCTCTGGGGCTGTCCAGTGCTGTTGAGTAGGTGTCTTGGGGTCAAATCAGAGACCATGTGTTCCCTGTAAGCTAGTCCTCATCTTCCATCTTCCATCAGCTCTCAGCACTTCTGCCTCCAATACGTCTAACTTATTGGTATGGTGAGATATTTGTTTGCTCTCAAGAAACACGGATAAAGAGTGGGCTCCCTGAGATCTCTGCCCAGACCGGAAGCAAAGGCACAGCTCGTAAACTGTGACTTGGAGGTGGCTTCGCCTGCTCTCCAGTGCACATCTAGAGGATGCCTAAGATAGCCGAGAGAGGGAAGGCACATGGCGATCCCAGAGAGGAGAGGTTTCACATGCTAATGGGATTCCACAAAGACCACTGAAAAGAAGGACATTTCTGAGTCTATCATTCACACCCCACTAGGAGGGCACAGACCCAGTAACAAGATGTCTATGCATGGCAGGAAGTTTCCCCTTGAGAGAATCACCTCACTATTATAAGCCTGTAAGGACTTCTCATTAGATGCTATTTTTGATTTGTTTTATTCTTTGATGAAAGTAGATTATTTCATCAAATCTTAATCATTTGCAGATCTTTAGATATACGTTTATTGCTTATCTCATATGTGTACTGTACGCTTAAGTGGATATATTTTAAAGTTCTCTTACTAAGAGCTTCATGGGATTGACATCTGAAAGTACTAGTATTTTTGGAGTACATACTTCTGCTTTAAAACTTTTGAGGAATCTAAGAGAAATGAGAAAATGAAATAATCAATATACTTTATTTTTATAATTGGTGACAAATACCCTTAATGGTACCTGGTTGAGTCACTCATTGCCCCCTGCCTCGTAGCCTCTCTCTAACCACATAACATGCTCCTCGAAGTTCCTTATGGTCCCAAAATTCCTTATAGGAATTTTTAAATATTTGTTGAATAAATAGGTCAACAAACAAATGCATGCAATACTGACCCCATCTGAGCAGTTTTTAGAATTTTGAGGCACTAAAAAAATTTGCTTCTCTTGAGGAACTATGTTTCCTCCTTTTATTTATCAAAAAAAGTATACTTTTCCTTTTTCGCCCCAGCTGTAAGGAATCTTAAAACCAAATCCGAAATTCAAACATTGCAAACATGTCAGCCTCAGTGGCCAGCTTAATCACATCTCCCCGGTTCCCTCAAAGCAGGTTTTCTACTGAATCACGTTAGTCCTATTATGATAAGCCACTTCAAGCCTTCTGTGGAACTCTATGGTCCAGTCATAAATTCGACAAATACTTTTGGAGAAAGAGTTTCTATAAAGAAACAATAAGTAGTTATCAATGGTATATACTTAAAGTCTGCCTAAAGCAATGCTATTTTAAGCCCACCCTACATTCTGGAGAAGCCTCTTCTTTTGTGGGACATCCAAAAAGTAGCTGTGACTAACTCCAGGATTTGTCAAACAGTTTAGGGAAAAAATTACATTATCCACTGCAGTTTTACCTATCAGAAGTACCATTATGTTTCTTCCCATCTCCAAGGTCATTTGGGAAAAATAAAACATACTCACCAATAAGGGCAAGGAGACCCAGAAGCAGCCACAGCACAGACATAGTGATGATCTGACTCTGCACGTCCTAAAATGATTTCAAAATAGAAATTAGCTAGCAGGTGTAAAAATGTCAATCGTCATAATAACAATATGGAAAGATGTGAGGGGGGGCGGGAAGAACAAGTTTCCCTACGTCTAAACTAAAAAATTAATGTTTTGAATCACAATGAGAAAAGCAAAGGTGGGATATGTTCTCCACTCACCCTTTCAATTAGTTTAAAATGACAACACTCCTACTTAGCCCACAGAGACAATAATTCTTTCAAGAAGCCAAGATACTTTGATTCTCAATGCCGAGAAACATAGTGACCCCAACTTCAGATACTGAAAAGCAAGTTTTTGCTACATGTGACTTATCCCAATAGCCTTTTCATTATAAAAAGATAATACAAAAAGGAGATGTTTGTATTTGTGTTTCTTTTAATTTGGTTCTTGTTCCTTCAGATTAGAGGACAGTGTAACCTTTGAATATATTCTTTACTTTGGTTGTTGAAAGGAGCTGGGAGATATTGCCCCCCACTCTAAGCCCCCAGTTTGGGGAGTTCCGACTCCCTTGGCCACCTTGGGCCATGTCCCCCATCACCTCCACCCCCAGTGAAACTCCAAGGCTCGAACAAACCTGGGCCATAACCTGGGCAGGGGGATAAAGAGACAGGTTGCTCCCACCAGCAAAGTCACATCCCCGTGAAATCAGGTTGTGGTCAGGGGTCCAGGACCAAACCTGTAAGGTGCTCTTCAGATGGGAGAAGTGACTACTGTCACCATCGGGTGCTTGCTCTCTCACTTGTTGTCATGTGCTTTCTCTCTCTCACTCCACCATTCCTCTAGTCACCACCCACATGGCCAAAGAGCCATGGTCCCCTGCTAGATGCCAAATGAATAACCAATGCCACCAGCATCTTTGCATTTGGCCCCAGGGAATGCTGAAGGAGCAGGCCACCTGTCCCCAACAACTCTCCCGCCACTAGCTCCTCCCACTGCAGGGTGCTCCCATCACCTCCTCCAAGAGACTGGCTACCTGTCATTCTGAATCATTACTGTCATTAAAGCAGGAGTGGGTATATAAACGTGGAATTCGGCACTTTCATAACGCTATGAGTGGTCCCTTTCAAACACCCAAGAAGAGATTGCGTCTCGAGGTGAAGGAGAGGTTATGAGGTGGTTAGTCATCGAGAGCGCAGGGACCAATCAGGGGGATCACTTTGTAAGTTATGTAAAAGTCTAACCTCTATGCTGTACATCTGAAACTAATCAACTATTGAATGTCGACTGTAATTGAAAAATTAGAAACAATTTAAAAAAAAAAGATGAAGGAGAAGTGGTAAGAAAGTCATTTGAATTAAGTCTTCTTACACTGGGGATCGCATGCCTCTCAGATACGTGTGCCATCTTGTTTTTGTCCCCTGCAACACTGAGACGGTCTACCTGATTTCTTGTAGCTGAGCAGAAAATGTCATGCTGAGTCACAGCCCAAAAGAGTTATGGGAACTTGGAATTATAGTGGGGTCTGTAGGAACTCTTGGGTTCAGTCACCCAACAGGAATCGTCTATTTAGCACTCAGCACTGAATGAGAGAGGACACCCCATCCCAGGGAAAAGACTGAAGAGCCGCTCAGGTATGGGAAAAGCTCGTAGAAAGTCCATCCTGATGGAGTCTTTACGGAAAGAACCCAGCAGAAAATAGCACTGCCTGCAACCCGATGCTAAACCCAGAACACTTTACTCTTTTTGATGCTTTTCGGAGGAGCAAAAACAACTTCATCTTGGAAGCCCAAGTGGAAGCACTTAGGTTTATTGCAGCATGAAAGCTAACTCATCCCCAAGCGTTATGAAAGTGCCAAATACCACAGTTATATGCACACTCCTGCTTTAATGGAGGTAACAATTCAACTAAATATCTGTTGAGCAAACACGTGAAAGAAGAGTCTAAGTAAATATACAATTACTTGCATTACTTGGAAAAAACAGAGTTCCTTTCCTTCATGTTTTCTCCACAGTTACACCAGGAAAGAATAAGCAGCAACAATGGACATGAACAACGCATGTTGACACAAGCTCCGGGACCCAACTGTACAGGCACCTGGCACTCTGTGGGAAAGGGACTGTCTGGGCTTAGGGAGGGTCCCTGCGCTCCCGATGACTAACCTATTAACATCCCTCGCTCCCAAAACTTGGAACCACTGTGAGAATGTCTAGCCAGACTGCACAGAGTCAGTGCCCAGCACCATGTCTGGCTCATTCCCCATTTCTTGGAAAGCAAACAGTGACAAGCAGCATGTGCATGTCAACAAGCTGGAGTCGTGGCACCCACCGGGCACCTTGGAAACCGACAGCCTGAACCTCCTTTGGGGACAAGTCAAGTTCCTAGAGGCATGCCCAGCCTCCCTCCACAGCACACTTTGCAGTTCCCAAAGGGTCGTTTTGATTTGCAAGGAGGAATCAACCATTTCTTCCTCACTTAAACAATTGTTCTGGAAAAAGTGGCACTGAAGGTTTTTGGTCTCTGTAGTTCCTCCACCATAGAGCTCTCATTTCTTTTCCATGAAAGCTCTCCCAAACCTTTGCCATAAACTTCGATCTCTAGACACCACACCCATA